CTCTCCTGGGGTTCTTCGAGCTGCGCTCGTATTATAGGCGAGTCGGGGACTGGGACGAGGACGAGGAAGAGGAGCATCARCAGGAAGACTKGCYTGAGGAGCCGTTATTCGTYAAYGAAGAGGAAATGTGGGAAGTGCAATRRCCACGGTTGGGGGCTTAGRGTGAGCATKGTARGGAACTCTATGTCGAGGGACGTGCAAGTCGGGAATGAGAAGACGATAGAAGATGGGAAATGGCTGGTTACTGCCCTAGGGTTACGGCTGCCCTGGACGCCTTARTCCCCTTTACTAGTRGRGGRGYCTTCCCTTACAAAATARAGAGCTGTATATCTCTAGAAGAAAGTCATGCTCCGGGGAAAGCTTATGTCTTGGTAATAAAGCATCTCGACACGGGAGAATACGACATCCGCCCGTACGTGCCTCTGCTAAGGGAGAGAGGGACTGATCACGAGTCGCTTAAGAACGGGATTAGAGATATAATCAATAAGGAAAGGAGGGAATTAGAGAAGAAGGGGAAAGAGGTGCTTAGTGACGAAACCCCCGTGCTGTTTTACGACATACCCGAACCTAGTCTACCTGACAGTTTTACTGACGGCAATAACTGGGGCCCTTTAATTAATATGGCGCTTAGAGCAAGGAGTTGGGGTCAGTGAGGATGCCGGGTCTTAGAGAACAGTTCTCCTTCGGGGTCATAGTAGAAGGGGGAATGGTAAAGGTTGAGGGGACCCTCCGAATTCCTAATATAGATCTCTTTGGCCTTGAAGAGCTTAAACTCATACAACCCTATCTGGATCGTATGAGGGAGTCGGCTTTGAGGGTAATTACCAACCAAACCGAGATCAGTTACCTACTGAAGGTGGAACTAGGGACCTCCCAGAGGGAATACTATCGTCTGGTCAAGGAACGAGTCCAGTTGTGTTAGGCGAGCGTGGCAGAAATGCTGGGCCATGAACGAGTAAGGCATAAGAAGTCTGCAGAGAAACTTGAGGAGTGGGATAACAAGATCATCGCTGGGAACCGACCGCCTCAGAAAAAGTTTGATGCGGTGTGTGCATCCTTGAGTACCCTAGGAAGAAGGGAGGAGTTTCCGTATGAGGTGGAAGCCTATGAGATGGTCGACAGTGCATGGGAACTAAGCCGCCTCTATGTTATGACCGCACGCTTCCTAGGAACTGAGGTAAGAGACGCAGGCATTTACTTACCAACAGAGAGGTCGAAAAATTTAGTGTATGGACGTTGCTGGCAAAGAGCAAGAGAAGTGGTAGAGGACGAGAAGGATAGGCTCCTTTCCTTAAGGAAATAAGTCGCTTGGAGTACCGAAATCAGGATATTTGAAGACTTGCTTAGGCCGCGGATTCCTTACGAAGCATTGATAGACATCGGTCGAGGTCTAATAATTGATTTCATAAACCGACACCATAACCCGAATGGCCAGAGAGAACGAGAATAGCCAGCCTGGGGGAAATATATCAACTGAACTAAGACAACGTGACCATGATAGGTGGAGGTCCCAACAGCTGCTCAGACTTTTGACGAAATGCACCCAGGAGGACTTGCGTACTTTAGGCACGTCGATCTGTAGGAGAGTTCGATTTAATGAAACAGGGTTGATAGAGATTAAGAGAGGAACCTCTTGCCTACGAGATCAAGAAGAAGAACTCTATCTTGACACATGCCTGTTAGGAGTAGAAGGTGAGCACGAGATAAAAAATGACAGAGGAAGATTGATTGGAGTCGTGGGGGCAGTGAAGGATTAGTGCAAGAGAGACCAAGAGAGAGAATGCTTCCAAAACCAAGAGCAGGATTAGAAGCCATGCTAAGGGAGTTGACCAAGGATGAGGAGGTGTAGGAGGCTAGATGAGGGGAAGTCGAGGAAGTTGGTCCGTTACCTTAATTCTATATCGAAGAGAGCAGTGATCCCATATGAGATCGTGAGATACGAAGGTCTAAAGAGTCAGGGATGGGGGATTGATGGTATGTATGTCATCACCTACTACTTCATCAACCTTGATGAGTATGATGTGGGAATATACGTGCCGCAACATAGGTTTAAGGAAGACGAAAAAGGTCGATGTTGGCAACGGGCCTCGAACATAGTGCATGACGAAAAGAGAAGACTCCACCAATTAAGGGCGAATTTCTCGTGGAGTACCTACGTTAGGCCTTTCATTGGGATACCGTCGCCGCCAGTTGAAGGGCTTACGCTCGCTAACAATGAATGGTTAGCAGTAATAGACCTAGTATGGAGGGTTAAGAGGGCACAAAACGAACTCAATAATGCCGGGAGCAGTAACTGAAGAGGAAGAGGTGAATCGAGTGTCATTCGCTGGGAGAGTGACATCAGTCATCAGAATTCGGTCAACCAGGTCTCTAGACGAACAGGGTTGTAGACAACTTGCCCAACGGGCAATTGAGAGAGAGAGACCTAGGGTTCTGAAGCTAGTGAGAGCAGAGAGAAGGATAACCTATGATGTGATGGTCTGGTCCCAAGGATGGCTGAAGTACGAAGTGGAGAAGGACGAGACAGTCCAAGAAGCAGAATCCCGCGTGTGAGAGGAAGTGACGAGAAGGTTAACTCGTAATAGAAACATACTCGGACTCGATAAATGATAAGATAATACAGTTAGTGGACGGGTATAAGGAGTACAGCGGCTCTACGAATGTGCAAGAATTACAGGCGCTCGAACAGAAGGTTGAGGAGCTGACCTTAATTCATAAGGAGGAAAGGGAAAAGATAATAAACTGGAGGGAGAAGTTTTTAGCAAGGAGGATAAGAGAGATCCGTAGAGAAAATGAAGAGAGGAGGAATGGCTAGTACCGGAGGCGAGACCAGGAAGTATCAGCTAGTTGGGGGAGCAAAAATTGAAGGGTCCCTTGTGCGAGCTAGGGTAGAAGTGATACAATACAAAAGGCTGAGTCAGGAGGAAGAAGCTGAGGCGACTAGAAAAGCAATTAAAGAAGCTAGGATCTGTGCTATCTGGAAGGCAGCGGACGAACTCCGATTGGCAAAGATTGAGATCTGTACGACGCAATTTGGAGGAGAGCGACTTTTCAGGGAGTGGAGAGAGACTATAGCGGAGGCAAAGACTATACTAAGGGAGGACGTTCGCGAGCCTGAAGAGCTTTCCAACGACGTGATTGACGTAGTCTCCTTGAGAACCTTGGAAGCTAACTCGCGTTATACGAAGGCTCTGTTGACCACTGCTTTGGTAATCAGGGCGGAAGGGCAAGCCACTGACTTTGAAGAGCTGCAAGAATTGTTGGACGAATCTACTAAAAGGATCCTAGCCGCTTTAAGGAGTGTGGCCGAAAGCTAGATAGGGTGTTCAAGGATTAGTTAGGAAGGATGGACGGAGAAGGAGCTTATCTAACCTCGATAGGAGGTGAAGTGAAAACACAGGAATCAAGAACGAATAGTCCAGACAGAAAAATGAGCGTCGACGTGAACAACGACGCGAAGAGAATAAGGAGGGTTTTAAGGGAACTAGATACTCGTGTCAAGGAGTCGGAGGGACGGAGCTCTAGGAGCGAAGGCTGGAGGAAAGAAGCTTTGAGCAGGACAAAGATGGCAAGGTTTGTGGATCCTGGGGTAAGAAAACCTCATAGAGAGGTCGCGAGTGAGCCTTACAGGAGGGGTCTTCATTCCATGGCGTATGCGCTAGACACTTATGTGTCTCCCTTTCTAGGGGCCCCAGCGTTACAATCTCCCGGACTGGCTGGGATTCAGACAATCTTTACAGGGAAGAATGCCATGAAATTCCTAGATGATTGGGAAGTGTTAGGAATGCGAGCAGAATGGAGTGGTCAAGATATGATAGTGAACTTCCTCTACCATACAGCCCCAAAGATAGACCGTGAAGTGAGGGATGCCATCCCAGATAATTGGCGCTGGTTGACGTTCAGGGAGAGAGTTGCCCGAGTCTTCGCATGTGACGAGACCTCTTACTCTATAGACGACTTAAAAAGGATGAAGAAGCAAGAAGATGAAAGTTTAGTGGCGTTTGCGAGGAGATATGAGAAGGCGTCTAATCCCCTGGTAGAAGGAGGGTTTATGGGGGAGATAGAGCGATGCGGGATATTTTTAGGGTTCTTATCCCGAGAGAAACGCGATAAGATCATGAGGGATCTTCTGTCTAAGGTGGTGTTCGGTCAAGTCAAGCTTCTAGTCCACAACACAGAGGGACAAAGCGCTAAAGCACACCTCGCAAGGATCCTCGACAAACTAGGGAAGGAAGTAACTGCGGACAATGGGGGAGGAAGACCTCAGTATGAGGATAGAAGACCCCAAATTGAAGGAAGAGATGTCGGCATAGGCTCGCCTAGGAGGGGGGATTTGATAAGAGGTGATAGCGATTGGAAGAAAGGAGGAAGAGGAGATTGAAAAAGGAACGACGGAGAATGGGGGACTTCTTCCAAGTGGTCCAACATTAAAGATAGCCGGTGGAAGCCGAAGGAAGAGATAGAGGTTAGGAGGTCTGAAAGACGAGAGGAGGAGATGGTGAAGCAGATAGAGGTTCTGAAGGCGGCGGTGGAGAAGTTACAAAGTAGTAATCAAAGAAAGGAAGAGACCCCGACTCGAGCCGCTCCTCGAGCGGAGAATCGCGGGTACCCTAGTCCGAAGCGGACTTGGAATAGTAAGGCCTGTATCTACCGTTGGGATGAGGACCACCAAAAGAGAGACTGTCGTGCGATGGTGGAAGCCCTGACGGAAGGCATCATCGAGTTAGATGATCGGAAGTATGTGATGTGGGCGGATGAAGGGAAACCAGTGCCCTTCTTACCCTCGATGAAGATCAATGTAGATATCAGGAGGCGAAGGATTAATGAGGCAAAGGGAAAACAAGCACAAGAGTCAGCGGCAGCGAAGGTTTTCCGGGTGACATTTGAGGAGGATCTCGAACAGCTACCGGAAAGTCCTGGGATGAGGATTTATTCTATTAAGTTTGAAGATACCGAGGATAATGATGAAGTTTACGTTTGCTCATAGGGTGTTGGCGAATCGAGTAAAGGAAAGAAAGAAGACCAAGACCAACCAATGACGGACAAACAGGTGGAGTCGCCTAAGTTACCTCAGTCCCCTAAAAAAAGAGGGGCCAAGAAGTTTCACTTGAAAAGTTCACTGGATGAGGTAGATTTGAGGGAGCCGTTAAGGAGGGCTATGGATATGCCCATTCCTATTACCTTGAAAGAGTTCATAGCCAGTTGTGGACCAGCGCGAGATGAGCTAATAGGAATGATGAAGAAGGCTAAGGTGCCACTAGCGGAGGCTGCGGCTTCAAGCGAGCCGAAGATAGAAACGAAGACATCTGTTCTAGCGGCGGAGAAAAGAGGAGTAGAACATGTAGAAACCGATGATGGTGGAGGCGATTATTTCTATGTTCTTGGTAGCGGGAAGTTGAACGCCACCGTCAATGGGATAAGGATGAAAGCTATAGTAGACGACGGGTTTGAGTCTACCTTCTGTGAGGATAAAGTGACCCAAAAGTTGGGTCTAGAGGTGGACAAGAGTATAGCCATGACCATGGTATCAGCCAACAAGCTAAAGCAGCCAGCCCTAGGGGTGTGTCATAAAGCCAAGGTCGTAGTCGCTGGGGTCGAGGCCACTGTACTTGTATTCACAGTTGAACACTGCTCGTCGGAGCTAATCCTTGGACGAACATGGCTGACACATGTCAATGCCACTACCGAGAATAAGCGTGATGGGAGCCAGACGGTGACCATAGACGGACCCGAAGGAAGCAGAGTCACCCTAAAAACTGTGAATGAATTTGACAAACGTCATAAGGTTTCCCTACAGAAAAAGGGACAGTTAAAAACGAGAAGTTGTCAGATGATCCCCGAGGAAGTCACTCTTGGACCGCATAAAGTGAAAGGGGCGAAGATTGAAATAGAGGACCTGGAGGGCAAGTACGTGATCGATGGGATGGCTTATGAGAAGGAGGTTGGCGACGACGAGTTTGGTGGGTGCGTGAACCTATCTTTTTTGGAGGAATTCCCCACACGGCGGGGGAAAAAGATACAAAACAGTAGCACAAAAAGTCAAGCCAGCCGCGGTCAGCCGTGATAGGACCGGGGAGATAGGAATCACTGAGGAAGAGATCACTAAGATGATTAGAGAGCGAAAGGCTACTTAAGGGCAAAGAATTACCGATGACATGATAGAAGGGATGGACATAGGTGCGGGAACATAACTAAAGAAGAGAGGGAGTTGATAATAGACACCTTAAGAGCGTGCGACAAGGCAGTAGCCTTTTGTGATGCGGAGAGAGGAAGGATAAATCCCAGATATGCTAAACCCGCAAGGATCTATACGGTGCCGCACGTGTCGTGGAATGATGCCGGGTGGAAGTTCGCGCAAAAGAAGAAGGAGATGATAGTGGATTTCTTAAAGGAGAAGATAAGAACGTTCGTAGCAGAACCATGTGAGAGCGCGTACGTCAACAAATGGTTTTTCATTTGGAAGTCGAATGGGAGGCTCCGATGGATACAAGACCTCCAGAAAACGAATAAGGTTACAGTTAGGGACGTTGGATCTATTCCAAACGCAGATCTTCTCTCTGAGGGAGCTGCCGGACGCTCGATTTACTCGGTCTGCGACCTTTTCTCAGGCTACGACGAGATCCCGCTTGATTACCGAAACCGGCACCTAACTGCAATGCATACGCCGTTGGGGCTAATACAGATGATGGTCGTGCCTATGGGATGGACTAATGGCGTGGCGGTCTTTCAAAGAGCGATGGTGGCTGTCCTAGGAGAACTCATACCGAATCTAGTAGAGGTTTTCCTGGATGACTTCCCAATCAAGGGACCCTATGAGAAGGACGAGACTGAGGTGAGGCCTGGAGTAAGGTGGTTCGTCGCTACCCACGCTGAAGATATTAAGAAGATGCTGGTGAAGTTGGAGGATGCAAATCTAACCATAAGTGGAACTAAGAGTAGGTGGGCAATGTCTTCAATAAAGATAGTAGGTTACATCTGTGACAAGGAAGGTAGGAGACCGGACCCCGCGAAGTTAGAAAAGCTTATGAACTGGCCTACTCCGTTACGGCATATTACCGATATACGTCAGTTTTCGGGGGTAGTTGGATTCTGGAAGAACTTTATAAAGGGCTATGCTGGAAAAGCCAAGCCGCTAAGAAGGCTCTTGCGCAAAGGAGTGGAATGGAGTTGGACGAGTGAGCAAGAGGATACTTCGAGAGCCCTAAAGGATGAATTTAAAGAAGGGGGACAAGTTCTCGGTGTTCCTTACTTTGAGGACGAGGAGAAGCGACCGTTTGTAGTATGCACGGATGCGGGGCCTGCCTTTGTTGGGGGGGTCTTAGCTCAGAAAGACCAGGAGGGCCGTGAGAGACCTCTTAGATTCGAGAGTAAGACCTTAAACACCACTGACAGGAACTACTCACAGTTTAAGAAAGAAGTCCTAGGAGTCCTACACTGCCTGAATGTCTTTCGTCATTACATTTACGGTCGAAGGTTTGTACTGCGGGTTGACCCAACGGCGGTGGCGACCGTCCTACAAAAAGATTTTTCGTTGACGGATCCCACAATTACTAGATGGCTCATGCATATAAGAATGTTCGACTATATGGTGGAACGGATATCGGGGGCTAAGAACTCAGTTGCGGATGGCTTATCGCGAATTGCGTTAGAAGAAGGGAACCTAGGATCACCCGGAGGAGTTGACAAGTTTTTACAGATGGAGATAGACTCTCTAAGAGTAGAAGCAAGTACGGCCAGGACTCCCTTGTTCCTCGAGAACCTCTATACGGGGAAATACCAACGGATAGATCGGTATCTCATAGGTGAGGCCGAGTTGGATGACAAGGTTAGGAAGGAGGCTCAACAGTATTGTTTAAGGGCGGGTCACCTCTTTAAGAGGCCACCTAAGAACGGGATGCCTATGAGGGTCGTCTGTGACAGGGATGAGCAACGAGACATAATAGCGGAACTTCACGACGGCGTCGTTGAGGGACACAGAGGAGTGAAAGGAACCTTTGAGAAGGTCAGGAACCTTTATTGGTGGGATGGTCTATATAGGGATGTGGAAGTGTATTGTCTCACATGCGTGGAGTGTCAGAAGAGGGTTGTGATTAAGTATAAGGAACCACTATTTCCTTCGTATCCTACAGCCGTAGGTCAAAAAGTTCACGTGGATTTAGTTAACATGCCCAAAGGAGAAGGGGGAATGAATTATATCATTGACATTAGGGACGACTTGACCGGGTTTGTAGAGGCATGGCCATTGAAGCAGAAAACAGGCAAGGCTGTTAGTGGATATCTAACGGAGTATATCACTTGGTATGGTTGTGTGGGGAAGATTGTTATGGATAGAGGGTCAGAATTTATGGCCAAAGAAGTCCAGGAACTGCTCCAGATGGCGGGGATACGGGTGTCGCTATCTACGGCGTACCATCCCCAAACTAACGCTCCCGTAGAGAGAGGACATCAGTCTCTAGTGAATGCGCTCGCCAAATGGTGCGAAGGTAGGGAGAAGAAGTGACCTAGGTATCTAAGATTCGTTGTCTGGGCGGATAACATTACCGTTCGATCAACCACTGGATATCCCCCCTACACTTTGTGGCTTGGCAGACACTGCCCCTTACCAATAGAATTCCATATCGATTCTTGGCAGACGATTTGACTGGGAGGAAGTCTCGACTAGAGAACAGTTGTTGGCCGCTCGAGTCAAACAAATAGCCGAGACTCTTGAGGATAGCACCCTGGATGCCACGAAAAAGCTAAAGATCCAGAGGGGAAAGGAGAAGGAGAGATGGGATAAGCACATCCGAGTCAGGCAAGAAGGGATACCCGAGGGAGGTCTAGTCTTGCTTTACGATTCTTCGTTAGAGAGGACTTGGACATGGAAGTTAGGGAACCGATGGATGGGGCCCTATCGCGTGGTAAAGAGTCTGGGAGGTGGAGCCTATGTGATAGAGGAACTAGATGGGGCTAGGTGGGCGGAACCAATATCAAGTGCTCGCTTCAAAGTCTTTAAGGAACGAAAGGAGCCTACTTTGCATCTGCGGAAGGATAAAGAGAAAGAAGAAGTCGACAAGCGGCTAGAAGGATGTCTGGAGAAGCGCGAAGCAGACCCTACAAGGGTGGTCACTTATGAGACAGGAGAATCCTCTAAGATATCTACAAGAAAGGGGGAAGAGAAGGCCCTAGGGGTCAAGCGTAGACAATGGAAAGGCACGAGGAAGAAGAAGTGCGAAGTCGTAGAGTCGGCCGGGTTGAGGAAGGAAAAGAAGCGAAAGGGCAAGGAGACTATTAAGGTCATACTGGTAGTGGACAAGACAGAGAGTCAGCGCCGCTATGAGAACAGGCAACGGAGGTCCACCAACCGATTAGGGGTCAAAAAAAGATTAGTTAAGAAGAAGCAAAGAAAGAAGAAGAAGCAACAAAAAGGGACTCGGTGAGGAAAAAGAAGACGATCTTGGGTTGATGGGTAGAGATTAGGAGTCAGCTTTTCTCCTCCCATTTTCCTGGATATTCCCAGATCGCTCGCCGGGGACGTCGAGAATAGGGGGGGGGCTGCTGTCGGGCGGCTCCAACCCTACGTCGCCCTTTACTTCTCTTGCAAGGGCGCGCATCAAGGTTTCTATTTGTTGGCTTTTACCTGGCTGAAGCTCACCGGCCATGGGAAGAATGCCGCGACAAGTTGATCAGGAAGGTGACGAACTACGATATCCTGTTCGAGCAGAGAACGAGCGATGAACAGCGGTACCTTTGCGGAAAGAGCCCAAGACGAAAGCCACTGGCAAGCACAAAGAGGCTGCCACAGCGGGCAATTACCGAGGGGTCGGACAAAGGGGCGCGACCGCGGAAGGTTGGAATGATACTGAATGTTGGCTGAATGGTCAAGGGAACGGGGCGATGGGCACTTACAGTGAGCCCACTGACATCTTAAGCGACGACGATGACTAAAACTGCCTCGAGCAGCCGAATTCCAAAGAATACCCTGCGACGACAAGTGGCAGGGCCAGGCCACGCGGGGGCCACGACACTAAGAGATACAGGCTATGGGCAAAGGGCCCGTGGGGCCGGTTGATTCCTTCTTTCGAAGGGGGCGGTCCCGGTAGGACACGGGGACCGGTTAGGCCAAATAAGCGATGGGCCCAGTATTTATTTCAGAGGGCCTGACTGCTTTTTCCCTCTTAAGGGGCGGGACCATTACAGCGTGGGGACCGCCGAGGCTTGGGGCAGGCTCGGGGTAGCCACGGTACCGGGCCGCTGCAAAGGGCCCAGTTCCCGATGGGAAGGCCTTTTTCACCGGGACCCCTTCGGAGGCCAATCAGGCCCGGGCGCAGCCACGGTACCGAGGCGCTGCAAGCCTTTGCAGCCTCGGTGCACCTGAGGCGAGGGGCACACTTGGGGGAAAGGCCTGACAAACTAGATAAGGCGCACGGGAGCCGGGGCGCAGGACAGAGAGGAGCAAGGCGGGGGAACGAACGGATGGGAGGCACGAGCTCGGGGACGCACGAAGGAGGTAGGGGGCAGACACGCGCACATCCGTGGAGTTGCCCGGAGTCCACTCGCTTGCAGGAGCACACCCGCGCAGTTGCGTGCGGTTTACCCACGCTTAGTCGTACATCCGCGGGGTTGTGCGGGGTTTCTGACGATTAAGCGCACATCCACGCAGTTGCGCGGGGCACGTCCGCGCACAGGCGCGCATCCGCGCAGTTGCGCGGAACTCAGTCGCGCACCTTCCCGTGCATTTTTGCGCACTCGTACACTACGCGCACACTCACGCGCGCATTCATGCGCTTTCGCGCATTGCTTTTGCACCCACGCGCGCATTCGCACGCACTCGTACACTACGCGCACACCCACGCGCGCATTCGCGCACTGCATGTGCACCCACGCGTGCATCCGCGCGCACTCGTGCTCTACGCGCGCCCCCTCGTAAGTATTCGCGCACACTCCCTCGCCAAGAGCGCACATCCGCACATCATCGCGCGAACTGGGAGCCACCCGTGGGAAGACCCGCGCATTACCGCGGGTACGGGGAGACTGTCGCGCGGAGGTTCGCACACTATAGCGCGCACGGGGAGCTGCTGCTTGGAATCTTGCTTGTACCTGCGCACCCCATGCACCGGGAGAGGGTCGAGGGGAACCAGCTGGGCGCCTGCTCGTTTCCGCGAACGGGCTAACGAGGGAGGGCCGTGAGCATTTGTGCGCACTAGCGCCCGCACTGGAACGTAAGGGGGGGGAGACTACGGATTTCGCTGAGATACGCCGACGGACGAGATACAGCACAAGGCAGCATCTTTGATCACGCACCTACCGAAGAGGGACACTTTCAACGGAGGGGCACACTACCTAAAGGGGCACCCTACCAGCAGGCACTATACCCAAGGCGGCGCTCTATCAAGGAATACTTTGCCGAAGGGGGCACCATACCAAAGGGGACATTTTACCGTGTGGACATCTACCGGGAGCACATTTATCGAGCGGACACTTTTACCGAGCGGACACATTCACTGAGCGGATACATTTACCGAGCGGATACATTTACCAAGCGGACACATTTACCGAGCGGACACATTTACCGAGCGGACACTTTTACCGAGCGGACACATTCACCGAGCGGATACATTTACCGAGCGGATACATTTACCGAGCGGACACATTTACCGAGCGGACACATTTACCGAGCGGACACTTTTACCGAGCGGACACATTCACCGAGCGGATACATTTACCGAGCGGATGTATTTACCGAGCGGACACATTTACCGAGCGGACATGTTTACCGAGCGGACACATTTACCGAGCGAATTCTTTTACCGGGCGGACTCGTTTGCCGAGCGGGCACATTTACCGAGCGGACACATTTACAGAGCGGATACATTTACCGAGCGGACACATTCACCGAGTGGATACATTTACCGGTCGGACACCTTTACTGAGCGGATACGTTTACCGAGAGGGCACATTTCACCGAGCGAGTACTTTACCGTGCGAAGACTTTATCGAGCGGGCCTATCCAAGCCTAGTTGGTACCGAAGAGGCACGAGTCCGAACCGGGCTTTCGAAGGGGGACTTTGACTTTTGAGCCCTTTGACATTTCTATGGCGGCCTCGTGGCTCAGGCGGGCCTATCCAAGCTTTGTT